AACTGGCCATCAAATTAAACAATCAGTATCTGCATTGGCCATAAAAACAATGGGTCTAGGAGGAATCATAGAATTCAGTTTCCCTAATGTTAAGTGATTTTCAGATGATAAATACTAAAGTTATCATTCTGACTCTATGTGATAGATGTATTAACCAGTAGTGACCCAACAGTTTACAGGGTTATTCCATGGCATTTTACATTATTCATGCTAATGTAGTGTTTTGCACTGTTGCCAAAAAACATGACACATTTCTAATTAATGGCTGTTTGAATGTTCCATCTCAAGTTTGTATCAGAGTTGATGTTATGGATCTGCAAAAGTGATATGGAAAAGCAAAAAATGTTCTTTACTAAAATTTCTTAATTCATTGTCATAAAGTTCAAATCCAGTATAAAAAAGTTAATATTTTCTTCCATTATATTTTGTGTACCTCTAAGAAAATTCAGTAATGCAATGACAAGAAATCTCATGTTAACTAGTGAAGCTTAAAGAGGCACTGCAGAACTTTTCTGGTGGAGGGCCCCCTGCTTGTCTCCATGGAGATGTTGTTGCTTTCCCTGGAATGTTCCATTGTATGACATTAAACATATCCATCTAAGATTTATTCATGTGTTTCTATTGCTCAAAAATACAATAATCCCTTTTGTAAATAGGGGCGACTTTCCACAGATCTGAGTTGTAATGCAGCACAGTGCTCTAACCTGCTTGTCTCCCTTAAGATAGATAGGTTCAATCTATACTGTGGAACATTCTAGACAAAACAGTAACATCTCCATGGTGATAAGCAGCCAAAAAAGTTGCACAGTGCACCTTTAAATGGTTGGTACAGTGGATCAGAATATGTTTTTTCCCCTTCAAAAGCACTGCAGTGTAGCATTTCAAAATGGGGTCAACAGTTTTCTTGAGGACACACTTTTGATTCGAGGAAACCGCTTACATCATCATCTCTTCTCCCCCTGAGCGTCCTCTGTCTGTGTGATGAACTGCTTTATAATATAATAGGCTCCTGATCATGTTCATTACAGCCCGAGTTCACAGGAAGCATGTCTTTGCTGCTTGTTCATTTGAATAGGGCAGTGATGTCTGAATTAAAGTGGCCAGTTCCCCCCAGGCAGGACCCCACAACAGAGTGAATTTTATGGAGCTAAATATCATATTAATAAATATCCTTCCCCTCTGGCCTGTGCTGAAATGGTTTAGTCTGTTATCCAAAACATTTCTAAAAACATGCTTTTGGATTTGCAATAGAACAAGTTGTGGTGGTATTTACTATTGTGGTTTGCTATGGTTCCTAACTTCATCCATCTAGACTAAATAAGAAGCAATTCACCATGGTCAGGGGAAAACTAATTATTTTTTGGGAGAAAAATAACTCAATCCCTGAAAAAAAAGTATGTTTTGTATCGGTATTCTCAAGAAAAACAGTTGGGGACCCCTGATTTAGGGTTTAACAGCTTGTGTTCAATACCCAGTCTCAGAGACACATGTTTATTCATTACTACTTTAGGAGGCTAGTGGTAGTTTATTCCTAATGCACAACATTAAACCCCCCATTCTAACCAGAGAGCAACTGAATAACATTGTTGCATGTGTTCAGTCCCACCTTTGGGTGTCCCTGTCCGATTGCTGACAAGGCCATCACGACTTAACTCTCTTACATACAGCTAACAGGCCTGTTTGACATTCCGAGAGGTTACACTCATCCCCAGAGGGAGCGATGTAAGGAGGAAAATGGGGGCAGACAGGTAGCATATTCTGCTCTGAGCCGCTGGTCACTGTGTAACCCTTTGTCCAGGACACAGCTGCAGGCATTCAGACATATCTACGATCTCAGGGTGACCTCTCTCATCACAACCCAACAAAATATGTGGAATACCAAACAGACAATTGGTCTTATCATGCATCTCAATCCTGTACTTTATTGGTTTGAGAAAAAACAGGAATATTTTAGCGAGGAAATTGTGCATCTGCAAATGTTCAAGGTCACAATATTTGCTTAGAGCTACAGTGCTCTCCACTAATACAGGTACTACTGAAGCAGATGAACAGGGATGTGTCTCTACTTAGAAAAAACATTTTTTTCCCAGTAAACTTGATTTAAGATATTTAGAAATAGACATTCCTAACATTAATACATTTTAAGTGCATATGCATGACATTAAATCAGCCTGAAAACAAACTGATCTCAGCCTTAGTCTAAGGTCATACAGGAGTTTGGTTTCAGACTCAAAAAGCTGATTTCCTTGAATCTCACCATGGAAACTGAATAAGTTAGTTAAAATATGTTTGTTTTTATCAGGAGGGTGCCAGACAACCTTACTAGCTCTGAATGTATTCTCCAGGACTAGATCAGAATATCTGGCTACCTCAAAGCTGTACTCTGTTTTAGATTCAAACCCCAAATTCGTCCTTTGTAAGATCTCTGACCAATTTGCCTCTTCTGCCCTCTACTGCTGTCTCTTCATCTCCTATAGTGCGCCTTCTAAGGTGATCTGAAGGTTTGCAAGACGAGGGCTAGCATCGCAATGAATACACAACAACAAACAAACAAACAAAGGTTCCCTTCTGTATTCACAAAAACAGAATCTTAAATAAAGCTACAGACAGCCAGTGAACATGACTTTGTACTTCAGGCCATGTTTCTTGAGCTATTCTGACACTACTCTAGAGTTAGTAGTTTAGCAGGTTTGTTGTTTTGGGGGTTGTGTGTAGGACATAAAAGGTCATAATAGGAAATTGAATTACATTTATTTATTTACTTATTGTACTGTAAAGAATTTATGTTGTCATGATACAAAATTTCTAACCTGATTTCGATACTAAGGAATAGACTCAATACTCAATACTGATTCTGAACCACAATGATAATAAAAACACTCTTTAGAATGTAATTTCCAACTTTAAATCTTATGTTCTTGTATGTCCATGGGCGTATATGAGTCTATGTGCTTTTATGCTTGTTCTGATACAGCTCAAGATCATTCTTAACTCTTCAGGTTAATTTCTGTCCTGTGACTTTTTTAGCATCAGTATCTGCTTAAATGAGTATCTAGTTTTGACACTAGTTCCAGCATCAATTAGCAACTGATTTTTGGTACTTTTGACAACCCTATAATGAATACAACTCAATTTCATACCCACATATGGCTTATATTGCAAGATCGCTTCTACTACCTTGGTGGAGGTCTGCTTATTTCATATACTTTTTATTCAGGATAGTTTTCCAGTCTTGCCCCAAGTCAAAACTATAATGACATCTCGTCTCACCCTGACCTGATTTCTCTGTTACATATGAATGATGCTTCAAATAACATTTTAATGTGTTTTCTTGCCTCTCCCTCAACATCGTTAGTAAACATTACATAAACATTAGAGGAACTGGACCAGGAATACCAAATACAGACTGCACTTTTGAGTCAGATCTTCATGGGGAGAACTCAAAATGTATGAAGTTTGCATAAAGAGGAGCAAAGAGCAGCCTGTACATTTCTCCACTATACTGTGTGTGCCTTGAGTATAAAGGAATGTAATACTGGAGAATTATAAAGCTATTACAGACAAGCTAACATGAGCTATGAAGGATGGTATTTATGTCTGAAAAGAAAGGTCCTCAAAGTCTGAAAAGATCATGAGAGCTTTTCACATTCAATTAGGTGTAACAGTTTGTACAGTGTGGCCTTTGCCAAGTGTGTTATGTTCAATTTGGCTACAGTAGTATAGAATAGAAAGTAATAGAAAGTAAACAGCACAAACCTATTTATTTATTGTTATATATTATTGTTTGTTCAGTCCAACATGTTTTCTTAAATATTTCTTTAATATTTTAAGAAGGTTGCATGTCATCTGTTAGCCAGGCTGGCGCCACCTAGTGCCTCCACTCAATTTCATTTCTCTCCAGCGACTAGGTCAGGAATCAAAATACACTAAATGGTTCACAAAAACCCCTAAAGTGCGAGTTCGGACACCAGCCAATCAGCGAAGAGCCGTACATTTGTGTTGGCAATGATTCCTGAGATTGGGGATTTAAAGCCGGAGCAAAGAGGATGTTCGCAGAATTTTCTCAAGGGGCAAAACGTTATTGCCCTTCTTTTGGGAAAAGCTTAATATACCAGTTAGTCCCATTAGCGGTGCCTTACATACGTCACGACCAAATAGCAGCGATCGGTTAAATGAAAATACTACCCACCTATGATCGAGCGAACAAATTCTGCAAGGTCAGACGGTTTCTACAATGTGAAACCGGCTGATGAATCAGGCTAGTCATCTGCATGATTCCACGGAAATAGAAAGTTAAAACCACTTCAGAAGATTCTCCATCAAGATTGATAAGCCATATTGTGGAATATTTCAGACAAAGTAACAATATTTCTATGGAAGCAAGCAGGAGGAGGTTAAGCTGTAGGCCAAGTCAGGTTTGTGGAAAAGCACATAGTTATCTTTTTTAGAGAGTTGCAAAGAAAAAGAAACAATAGTAGGTATTAGGGATGTAACAATAACCGAAATATCGTGATATAATATTGTCAAAAGTCTCACAATAATATCTTGGAGCACCACACTATATTGAATTAAAAGTCTCTTTGCTTAAATTTAAAGTTATGGTGCAGCAATAGCTAAAAAAAAAAAAAAAAGATCCTTTCAGTGCAGACTGCATGAAGAAATAACAAATAATAGTGATAATCGAAATATTAGTTCTTTGGATTAAGTCTTATCAGGTTATCAGGGTATTTTAAGGGAAAAAAGTAGTATATTCACAGTTTTGTTGCCCTCCACACAATATCGCAATAAATATCGTACCATGAGAAATATATTGTGAAAATATTGAACTGAGAGATTTGGATATCTTTACATTCCTTGTATGCATTTATTTTAGTGTATCTTTTGGCTAAAAAGTTATAGAGTGTTTCTTTAAATAAACACATTTATATAATATGACATTTTAAATCAGAATGACGGCATGTTACTACTTCAAACAGTTTTTTCTAAGAAAATAAACTCACCGTTAGCCGTTTGGAGGCATCCACTTCGATCATGCCCCTGAGCAGGTTCTGGCAGTCTGGAGGGATGAAGTGTGGCATGTGAAAAACCCCCAGCTTCACCTTCTCCAGAAGATTTCTCAAGTTGTCATCATCGAACGGCAAAGCTCCCTGTGAAGTTACACACAAAAGACGGATCAACACAACCTGGGAGCACACGCTAAAACAGTTAACACAACTAACAAGGCTTGAAAGCATGAAAGCAACCCCCATTTGGTGTCTTAATCTTGTTAAAGGCATTTCTCAACTTGCTCAACTACCTAATTAGGGCGCTTTGCTTTCCTGAGCCACTGCAAATAAATAATAAACAGCACAAGACAAAAATGGTTCCTTTTTTTTTTCTTTCTTTTTCCTAATAATTGCCCCGTTTTTTAATTTACTTCCTTCATTTAGCAATCTCTCATCACAGCCATCCATCACCAGCCTGACACCTCACAGATGTGGCTGTTTGATGAATGACAAGCTCTGCCACAAGACAAAACGAATGAGAGGAAAGAAAGGAGCAACAAAAAGAAAAAAAAAGCTAAAATAGAAAAAAAAAAGAGAGAGAGAAAGAGACAGGGAAATGGGAGAGGTACAGAGGCGAAAAAGTCTTGTGTAACAGATGATCTGAGCGGAGCCTAACTGCTGGGGAGTGCACGCGTCTCCCACAATCAGACAAATGGTTATCTCCGAGCAGACAGCAGGACCAAACAGGAAGAAGAAGCACAAGAAAAAGAAAAAAAAAAGTTTTGAATGAGGATGTACGCTAGGAGGGAAACTGCAAGAGCTAAAATCCACCATGTTATCTTGTAGAGCAAACTAAGAAGGGCAGTTTGATGTCAGAGTGGTTAACACGTCTGACCCACAGCAAAGAAGGATTGGTCAGTGATGATGCTGGGTCTTTCTTTGCTGTGTGGAGTTTGTATGTTTTTCCAGTGTTCTTTAGTCTGTTTCTCTATATCACTGAAGAGATGGATACTAGATTACAGATTATTTTCAAATATTAAAGTGCATACGACAGGTTATACTACTTATTTCTCTAAAACATCATTATTAATCATTATATTTAAGATTTTATTAAATGGTGCAGTGTAACTTCTGTGTTGGAGACTTGTCTCCATGGAGATTGGCCTAGAATGTTCCACGGTATGACCATAAATTTATGAATCCCCATGAAAATTTGCAACCCAAATTACTAGGGATGTAACAATACCCAAATCTCACGTTACGATATTATCACGATAACTCACGGTACGATATTTATTGTGATATATTTTGATATTTTGGCACACTTTTTTTTGGTTTTAAAATACCTTGACAAGATTTTGGTGTGAATTATTTCTGTCATAATCCCAAGAATTCAAGTAAAAAGCATATATTTTCATGTTGTCTGCACTGAAATGAATCATGGGATATGTAGTTCCCGATGTTCATAAACTGTTGCAACTATAAAACCATGCATTTAAGCAAAGGAACTTGTGACTCGATATATTGTGACAGCCCACGATATTATTGTGACACTTTTGACAATACGATATCACATTATTTCAGTTATTGTTACATCCCTATAAATTACAGGTTTGTAATTTGTGGAGAGGTGGCCCAACTCACAGTAAGAATGGGTGTTTTTAAGATATTTTTGAGCAATAAATTGCACCTGTAGTTTAATAAATGCGTTATAGATTAATTAAATACCATACTGTGGGCAATTTAAACCAAAGCATTAACATCTCCATGAAGAGAAACAGGTTGTGAACCCTCTCCACAAAAGTTACACAGTACACTTTTAGTTTTTCTAGTTTTGTGATTTTGGTCCATCCATCCATCCATTTTCTTCCGCTTATCCGGGGCCGGGTCGAGGGGGCAGCAGTCTAAGCAGTAATTTTGGTGAAGGTTATAATTTTGCTTCCTGGTTGAACGCAGGCAGCAGATATGACATACGCAGAGTAACCATATTGTTAACAAGGGCCAGAACTTTTCTAAATTACACAATAGTTCATTAAAGTATGATTTGACACAACTATAATTAAAAATAGGTCTACATGACAACACCTTCAATCACCGTTCAGTGTTTAAACTGTCAGAAAAATGTCTCTGCATTTGAATGGAACTGAATGAAAATAGGTAAGGAGTTTACCGTTTTAAAACTTTGCACTAGTTTCCTTATTTTCCAACCTTACTTTTCTACATTTCTTCACAAACTGATGTAATATTATGGTGAATATTTACCACAAGTGCAATCCCATCAAACCATGTAAAAATGAGAAAAATATATGAATCTGTCAAATGCACTTTAAATTAAAATATCAGGGTTAGATGTTCTTTTTTTTGTAGATTTTGAAGAACTCAGAAGAACTAAATACATCCTTAATATAAATACTAAATATGCTCATCTTTTAAACAAAGGTCTTCGAAGTTGCCACATGCAATTCAGAAAGTGAGCAGAGCCTGTGGTCACAAACTTGAGTGTCGTATATTTTGGGTGCTTTGCTTTCTCGATGCATTATTCATGGGACAGCCGTGAGTGCGACTATGGCCCAGCTGTTGCAGAAACAAAGCTGCAGGGCTGAACCACACAGGTAATGTAGACTCCATAATGGATCCAGAGCCTGATACACCACAATGAATAAAGCAGGATGTGTTGTCTGATCTTTTATCGTGCTACAGTGAGCAGCTCCGGGGCACCGTATGGGTTTTACACCAGACTGTGGGAATTTAAAGAAAGGGGAAGTTGTTTTAGTCAATACTCTCCTAAAGTCCCACTCACTGTTACAATAGGAGAGTGTTTATCGAGCGAGTGGTCTCTGGAGGTACACGGGGTCCTCTTCGGTTTCAAGTACTTCTTTTATTTAGACACAAATAGATTAATGGGATGGGTGGATAAAGAGATAAATAAACAGATAGATCCATAGATAGATACATACATAGATACACTAATTCCCATTCAGTGTTACATTAGAACAGTGTTTATTTATTCTGGGTGGTCTCTGCTGGTACGTGGGATCCTCTGCTGGTTTGTTGTTATATTTAGAGACAAGACGATTAATGTGCTACAAAAAATTTTAATCTAAACAAGTTGATTATTTGAACTAAATTTAGTAGTAGTTTATTTGGTCATTTTGCAGCACTACAAGACAAAACAAAACAAAACATAGACTATAGTCCCTTAGATCATGACTGAAAGGGTTTAGGTTGAAGTAAAAAGTACTTATGTAAGTGTCTAACCCTATTAAACAATGACAGAATTCTCAGAAAAAAGCAGCGTATGAACAGGAAGCTAACATTTACAATTTCACTTACGACTTACTGTATATATAAGAGACAAAATATAATTTAAAACTAAATTAAAACAAAATTTAATGCATAATTCATTCCAGAGCTCTATATCCTTTCAAAACATAATGCTTTATACCGTTTTTTAAAGGCTTCTACAGTGTTAGACTGTTTTTTTAAAATCATCACTCAGGTTATTCCATATCCAGAGGTGGGGACTTGCAAGTCGTGACTGGGACTCGAGTCAGAGTTGAGTCACTATTTCTAGGACCTGAGACTTGACTTAATAAAATGGACTAAGATTTGGGACTCTACTTGGCCTGTGACTTGAGAAGACTTGAGAAGCACTTTTAAATCTGAATTCTTATTCTGACTGTAATGATTCACTCTAAGATCTTGCCAAGACATTTAAAAAGGAAAAATAAAAATGTCTGCATACTCATATATAAATATACCTTGACTTTATAAGTACAATTTATCTTAAAAGCCATATAAATTGCAAAATCTAAGCTATGTTTGGTACTTTTTTGATTTAAAGACTTGAAATGACTTGATAGCTCAAAGCAGACGACTTGGACTTCACTTGGACTTATGGGCCAGTGACTTGAGACTCAACTTGGACTTGCCTGTATTTGACTTGGGACTTGACTCGGACTTGAGGTTAAAGACTTGAGATTTATTTGAGACTTGCAAAACGATGACTTGGTTCCACCTCTGCCATATCCCAACCCCTCTAACAGAAATACAATCACATTTTTGCTTAGTTCTTATCTTCTTTTTTTTTTTTTTTAAAGATACCTGTTCCTTTAAGGTTATACGGACTCTCTCTGGTCAAATAAGTAAATAATTTCACTTGACAAGTAAAATTATCTACCAAGTGGAACAAGATTTTTTGTACTTAAAATATGAAAACACATCTTGCTACACTTAAGATAAGAAAAACAACTCTTTGCACTTAAAGTAAGAAACAAACTCAAACGTTGCCTGAATTAAGAAAAACACACTTGTTCCCTTGGTAGATAATTTTACTTGTCAAGTTGAAACACAAATATTATTTGGTCCATAGTTTAAAAGAAAAGCTGGACACAAAAATAAACATACAAAGAATCCAAATTAGTTCATAAAGTTCATTTAAAAAGTGTAGAGTTTCTGTGACCATTGTTTTCTCAGAGCAGAGGTGAAACGGCATGAGCTCATTTGAGGATTGGGCAAAGTCATTATGATGGAGTTTTCAGACACCTCCAGGCTCTGCATAAAATCTCATTGAATCTCCCTGATAGATCTATTATTTGTTTCCACACAATGTCAGATATGTTTTGTACTCCTTTGGGTTAATCATTTGGAACTAATACGACTATCCATGGGTTGATCTGGAGGTATGGAAAGCCTAATTCTATCTACTTGGTTTGAAGATTTTGAGAACCACTGTCATAGACTATTCTGAATGATATCATAAGACTTAACAAAACAATTACATTTCTTGCTTCACTACTATCTGGGTTGAAGAGGTGTTTTAGTTATAAGCAGATATTCACATGGTCAAGCAAAAACCAGTAGGGAGTCCCCAGGGTTTACATAAGCAAGACTTGTTCCTTTAGTCATACGTGTGAAATGTTTGAATAGATTATTAAAATAGAATCTGTCTAGTCCAAGAAAACATCTTACATAACCTCCCCAACAAAGGGCAAAGCACTCCAGGGTCGACAGTACTGAAGGATAAAAGATTAGAAATTGTTGATTTTTTTACTAACTCATGTAGCCTTGATTTGAGGTTTTTGAACAGGAGTTTTAAAGGTCCTACATTACGCAAAATTGACAATTGTGAGCTTCAAGCCGTGTTATAATGTTGATACCTGGAGTTTTATAAAATATCTACAACTTAAATGTCAAACCAGAGCTATAGGCAATGGTGAAAACAACTTGCATAGGCTCATGATATCTGCACAACTGTCCTATAGTTACCTGCCACATGAGGGGACCAGGACTGAACCAGGCCTGAACAAGGACTAAACCAGGACTAAAACAGGTCTAAACCAGAAATGAAGCAGGACTGAGTGTTGGGACGGCTCGGGGTTCTCTCTCTTGCTCTCAAGTACAAGATTAGTCATGGTTTAGTCCTAGTTTAGTCCTGGTTTAGTCCTGGTTTAGTCCTGGTTTAGACCTGGTTTAGACCTGGTTTAGTCCTGGTTCAAGTCCTGGTTTACTGTAGACCAAGCTTAGTTCTGGTTTAGTCCTGGTTTAGTCCTATTTTAGTCATGGTTCAGTCATGGTTCAGTCCTGGTTTAGTCCTGGTTTAGTCCTGGTTTCAGTCATAGTTCAGTCATAGTTCAGTCCTGGTTTAGCCTTGGTTCAGTCCTGGTTTAGACCTGGTTTAGTCCTGGTTCAAGTCCTGGTTTAGACCAAGCTTAGTTCTGGTTTAGTCCTGGTTTAGTCCCATTTTAGTCATGGTTCAGTCATGGTTCAGTCATGGTTCAGTCCTGCTTTAGTCCTGCTTTAGTTCTGGTTTAGTTATGGTTTAGACCTGGTTTAGTCCCAGTTCAGTCCCGGCTTATTCCTGGTTTAATCCTGGTTCAGTCCCGGTTTAGTCCTGGTTTAGTCCCAGTTTAATCCCGGTTCAGTCCTGGTTCAAACCTAGTTACCTCCGCCAAGGAGGTTATGTTTTTGCCGGCGTTTGTCTGTTCTGTTTGTTTGTCTGTTAGCAACATAATTCAAAAAGTTATGGACCCATTTTGATGAAATTTTCAGGATTTGTTGGAAATGTGAAAAAGAAGAACTGATTTAATTTTGGGGGTGATCCAGAAGAAATCCTGGATTCTGGATCACTTTGAAATTTTAGTTAACATTGTGGTAAATGGGGCCAAAAAATTTGTTTCTCAATATCTCGGTTAATTATTGACCAAACCCCATGAAATTTGACTCAGGGATGGACAATGGGATCCTCTTTCATATTCCAAAGGCTGATCCGGATCTGATCCAGAAGACTGATTTTATCGCAATTTATATAAAAAATGGGGGTAGTCCTTGGCGGAGGTCTGCGCTCTCTGAGTGCTTTTCTAGTTTAGTTCTGGTTTAGTCCTGGTTTAGTCTTGATTTAGACCTGGTTTAGTCCTGGTTCAGTCCTGGTTTAGTCCTGGTTCAAACCTAGTTTAGTTCTGGTTTAGTCCTGGTTTAGTCTTGGTTTAGACCTGGTTTAGTCCTGGTTCAGTCCTGGTTCAGTCCTGGTTCAGTCCTGGTTTAGTCCTGGTTCAGTCCTGGTTTAGTCCTGGTTTAGTCCTGGTTTAGTCCTCTTGGTTCAGTCCTGGTTCATGTGTTGTAGCCTATGATTTATGTTCTGTAGGTGTTTATGAATGGCATTAATGTTAATCGAGGTCACATCAATGACGTCACAAATCTCGTACCCCCACTTAAAAAATCCCCACTACACCACAGGAGAGAGATTTTTCTGTCTGAGAGAAGAACTCAGCCTAAATATGCAGGGTTTGTGCATGAATGAAACAAAACGCAGCTCCAGGACTGCTTTTGATGAGCAAACATTAGAACAAAAATCTGAAAATCGCATAATACGGGGCCCTTTAATCAAGAGACTGTGTTGACTGACTGTTAAGAAGGCTCACCTTTCACCCCAAAACAATCATCCTCAAAATATTACATCAAACCAATTGACACTGTAAATCCACAATCATAGCATTTTTTTTCAAATCCTAATCACATTTTTTTTCAGAACCATCTGACACTTACCACCAAGAGGGCAAACAGAATGACTCCACAGCTCCACACGTCTGCTTTCCTCCCGTCGTACTTCTCCCCCTGCAGGCAACGCAAACCACAGTTTTGTCCATCAAACCAAAGTACACAAAAAAACGGAAATTAATTTTACAAAGTGAATTATGGGACTCACCCTGATGACTTCTGGACAGGCGTAGTGTGGAGATCTGTGGAAGAGAAAGAGGACGTCATAAATTACTTTGAGAATTTTATATTGTTTGAGTTAATAAGTCCAGACAAGGTATACTCCGCTGCATAAAAGAACAATTTAGGAGAGCCGTAAATGTGTCCGGGGAGCATAGATCAAGATGTCCGCAAGTTGTGAGCGTGTCCTCCCACTCGGCTCACTCAAGGGCACCCCTCTTCCTCCCCCTCTCTCTCCCTCCTTTCTTCTCTCCTCCTCCCTCACTCCCTCATTCTCCCTTTCTCTCCCACTGTCTCCTTCTTTCCCCTTTCCTCTCTCCTCCTCCATCCCTTCACAGCCTCCCTTCTTCTCCCTCATCCTCCCCCACTCTCTCTCCCTCCTTGTCCCTCTCTTCCTCTTCTTTCCCCCTCCCACCCTCCTCCTCCTCCATCCCCCCCTCTCTCCCTCCCTCCTCATCCCGCCTCATTCTCCTTCTCTCTCCCTCTCTCTCCCCACTCTCTCTCCCTCCTTCTCTCCTCCTCCTTCGCTCCCTCTTTGTCCCGCTCTTTCCCCCTACCGCCCTCCTCCTCCATCCCTCCTCTCTCCCTCCCTCCATATCCCTCATTCTCCTTCCCTCCCCCACTCTCATCCTTTCTCTTTCTTCCTTCCTCCCTCCCTCCCTCCTCCTCCCTTCTCTCTCTCTCCTCCTTCTCTCCTCCTCCATCCCTTCCCACCCTCCCTCGTTCCCTCCTTCTCTTTCATTCTCCCTCTCTCCTCCACTCTCTCTCTCCCTTGTTCTCTCCTCCTCCCTCCCTCCCTCCTTCCCACCTCCTTCTCCCTCATTTCCCTTCCCTCTCCCCCACTCTCTCCCACTTTCTCATCTCCTTCTCTCCCTCTCTCTCTCTCTCTCCCATCCCTTCCCACCCTCCCTCGTTCCCTCCTTCTCCTTCATTCTTCCTCTCTCTGCCACAATCTCCCCACTCTCTCTCCCTTGTTCTCCCCCCCTCCCTCCTTCCCTCCCTCCTTCTCCCTCATTTCCCTCTCCCCCACTCTCTCCCACTTTCTCATCTCCTTCTCTCCCATCCCTTCCCACCCTCCCTCGTTCCCTTCTTCTCCCTCTCCTCTCTCCTTCTTTCCCCCTCCCTCCTCCTCCATCCCTTCCCACCCTTCCTTCCTCCCTCCTCCCTCTCTTATAGTATATCTGGAGCACATCGCAGGCTGACAGCCCAACCCGGTGACTCCTGACAACCAGATTGACATCAATATCACCCAGAGATTTACTGTTGACTGGGAGCAGTGACTGGTGAGCTTCAAACACCAGCGGATGTCACGAGGAGGTGGTGACGGGCGAGCGGTGGGAGGCCTGACAAATCGATCAAGCAAGAAACATTTAGGGAAAACATTTTACAGTAACACTATAAATGTAAGCCGTAAAACTTCCAAACCAAGTCATTTATTATTTATTTTATTATTTATGATATTGTGTTGGTTTAGAATAACTCTGTGGTTACTCTTACTTAACTTCACAGTACTTACTTACTTGCAATATCAAAACTGAGGTACTAACTTGTTCATGTAAAACCAGGTTTAAACCAGGACTGAACCAAGACTAAACCAGGACTAAACTGAACAGATTCAAACATTCTTTTGTGCCACTAGCTGTTAAACTGCTAAACTCAGATAATGCAGTTAAAAAATAATTATAAAAGGCTTAGGGATTGTGCAATCAAAACTGCACATAGGTGTAGGGAATGTGCCATTAAAGCTACACATAGGCTTAAGGAATGTGCAATAATTAAATCTGCACATAGGCTAAGGGAATGTGCAATAATTATAACTAAAACTGCACACAGGCTTAGGGAATGTGCAATAATTAATAGAACAGAAGAATGCAAGGGCCTGTTAAGGATAATTTTAAGGGTCCTGTTGGTGCATCACTCGTGGTCATACTGGTCTCATATTTACTTTGTTTTATGGTGTTTGTTTATGTGCTGCTTTGTGTTGTGTTGTCCTGTTTTTTGATAAAACATGTTACCCCCTGTCCCAAGACAAATTTCTCCCATGGGAGACAATAAAGGGTTATCTTATCTTATCTTAAAACAGGACTAAACCAGGACTAAAAAAGGACTAAAACAGGACTGAACCAGGACTAAGAGGACATGGCATGATAATTATTGATCTACTTACGCACTTGTAATATCAATACTCAGGTACTAACTTGTTCATGTAAAACCAGGACTAAACCAGGACTGAACCAGGACTAAACCAGGACTGAACTAGGACTGAACCAGGACTGAACTAGGACTGAATCAGGACTAAACCAGGACTGAACCAGGACTAAATCAGGACTAAACCAGGACTGAATCAGGATTAAACCAGGACTAAACCAGGACTAAACCAGGACTGAATCAGGATTAAAACAGTACTAAACCAGGACTTAATCTTGATTAAACCAGGTCTAAATCAGCACTGAACCATGACTGAACCAGGACTAAAACAGGACTAAAACAGGACTAAAACAGGACTAAAACAGGACTAAAACAGGACTAAACCAGGACTGAACCAGGACTAAAACAGGACTGAACCAGGACTAAGAGGACATGGCGTGATAATTATTGATCTACTTACTTACTTGCAATATCAAAACTCAGGTACTAACTTGTTCATGTAAAACCAGGTTTAAACCAGGACTGAACCAAGACTAAACCAGGACTAAAACAGGACTAAACCAGGACTAAAAAAGGACTAAACCAGGACTGAACCAGGACTAAAAACAGGACTGAACCAGGACTAAGAGGACATGGCGTGATAATTATTGATCTACTTATGCACTTGTAATATCAATACTCAGGTACTAACTTGTTCATGTAAAACCAGGACTAAACCAGGACTGAACCAGGACTAAACCAGGACTGAACTAGGACTGAATCAGGACTAAACCAGGACTGAACCAGGACTAAATCAGGACTAAATCAGGACTGAACCAGGATTAAACCAGGACTAAACCAGGACTGAACTATGACTGAATCAGGACTAAAACAGTACTAAACCAGGACTTACTCTTGACTACACCAGGTCTAAATCAGGACTGAACTAGGACTAAAACAGGACTAAACCAGGACTAAACCAGGACTAAACCAGGACTAAACCAGGACTGAAACCAGGACTAAACCAGGACTGAACCAGGACTAAGAGGACATGGTGTGATAATTATTGATCTACTTACTTGCAATATCAAAACTGAGGTACTACATTGTTCATGTAAAAGAGTAAATATGTTTTTTCTTCACCAACTGAGAAATACTTTGTGACAAAATTACGCAAAACATTTTATCAATCGCAATTCAGCAAAGAAAGGGTCTGTTGTGTTTTTGGATGAACATGTCTTGGCCAGGCAGGATGTGTCTAAGATTTACTTATTACAAGCTGCAGGAGTAAATTGGAGTTACATTTTAAATACTTTTTTACTTCTTTCACAGTTTGAAAATCAGGTACCTTACTTTAAAAGTGAGATTGGACATTTTTATCTTCAGGATTTATGTAAATGCTAACACTTAGAGACCAAACCAGACCAAGTTACAGGTCAGATCTGTGTAGAGGCAACCCCGCTCACAGTCAGAATGCCTGTTTTTCTAGGTATTTTGAGCTATAAAACCACCTGTAATTAAATAAACTGCTCTTGGCACTTTCTCACGCCTTTCAAACCAAACCTGCACCCATAATGTGGACTGATGAGTGTCTGGAGAGAGTGTGATGGTCTGGAGTGAATGAATTGAATGATGATTTTTATGAGGATGATGTTTTAAAGATGCCGAGAGAACCGGCTGCGAATGATGATACAGAATTGTTCTGATGCTCCGGTCATTATAAAGACATTCTCTTTGTATGTTTGATTTTATGAAGTATAACATCAACCTCAATGCATCTCTCCTTTTAAGGTTAATTGTATATTGTGCACTGTCCCTGTCTCATTAAATAAACTAAACTAAACTAAATGTACGGTAATGTCACACTGTGGAACATTCTAAGCAGAGCAATGACATGTCCATAGACAGTGTTGGGGAGTAACAGATTACATGTACTGGAGTTATGTAATCAGAGTACAAATTATGAGTAATTGTATTCAGTTACAGTTACTGTTTCAGTGAGTGGTTATTACATTTCAGTTACTTGGCTGAAATAAATGGATTACACAGAGGCATTTTACTGTTTTCATATTTTGGGCTATTCCCTTTTTTTTTTTTTTTCAGTAATTCCACTCATTGCCGGACACTAAAACCAGGTCTAAACCAGGACTAAACCAGGACTAAACCAGGACTAAAGCAGGACTAAAACCAGGTCTAAACCAGGACTAAAGCAGGACTAAAACAGGTCTAAACCAGGACTAAAACCAGGACTAAAACCAGGACTAAAACCAGGACTAAAACCAGGTCTAAACCAGGTCTAAACCAGGACTAAAACCAGGACTAAAACCAGGTCTAAACCAGGTCTAAACCAGGACTAAACCAGGACTGAACCAGGACTAAAACCAGGACTAAACCAGGACTAAAACCAGGACTAAAACCAGGACTAAAACCAGGACAAAACCAGGTCTAAACCAGGTCTAAACCAGGACTAAACCAGGTCTAAACAGGTCTAAACAGGTCTAAACCAGGACTAAACCAGGACTAAAACCAGGACAAAACCAGGTCTAAACCAGGTCTAAACCAGGTCTAAACCAGGTCTAAACCAGGACTAAACCAGGACTGAACCAGGACTAAAACCAGGACTAAACCAGGACTAAACCAGGACTAAAACCAGGACTAAAACCAGGACTAAACCAGGTCTAAACCAGGTCTAAACCAGGTCTAAACCAGGACTAAAACCAGGTCTAAAACCAGGTCTAAACCAGGACTAAACCAGGACTAAACCCAGGTCTAAAACCAGATCTAAACTAGGTCAAAACCAAGCCTAAACCAGGTTTAAAACAGGTCTAAAACAGGATTTAACAGGACTAAACCATGCTGCGCAGGACCCGTGTCTCCTCCTCTTCTATCAATAATA